TTGAGAGAACTGGACTGGAGGGAACATACCTCAACATAATTAAAGCTATATACAATAAACCCATGACTAACATCATTCTAAATGGAGAAAAACTGGAATTCCATTAAAATCAGGAACCAGACAAGGCTGTCAACTATGTCCACTCTTTTTTAATAGAATGCTTGAAGCTCTTGCTAGAGCAATAAGAGAAGGAAATTAAAGGAGTACTAACTGGAGAAGAGTTTACATAATCCCTATTTGCATATGATAAGATATACTTGAGAGCCCAAAAATTCCACCTGAAAGCACCTAGCAATGATTAACATTTCAGCAAAGTGGCAGGTTACAAAATCAGTCTACAAAAATCAGTAGCCTTTCTATATACCAGTAACAAGCAATTGGAGAATGAGTACATGGAAACACTCCTATTCACAATAGCTCAAAAAAGAAAACAAAAAAAAAACATAGGAATAAACTTGACCAAAGACATTAAAGATTTCTACAGTGAATTTTTTTTTGGGGGGGGTCTTTTTGAGACAGGGTCTTCCTGTAGCTCCAGCTGTCCTGGAACTCACTATGTAGACCGTAGACCCCTTGAACTCACAGAGATCCGCCTGCCTCTGCCTCCCAAGTGCTACCTGCCTCCCAAGTGCTGGGATTACAGTGAAAATTTTAAATCTTTGAAGAGTTTGAGGAAGACACCAGGAGATGGAAGGACCTTCCATGCTCATGGATTGGGAGAATATGGTGAAAAGCAATCTGTAGATTCAATGCAATCCCAATCAAAATCCCCAAGACATTCTTCACAGAATTAAGAAAAAAAAAATCCTAAAATTCATATGGAATCACAAAAGACCCTGAATAGCCAAAGTAATCCTTAAAACAAAGAGCAATGCTGGGGGTGGGGTGGGGGTGTTACCATACCAGATCTTAAACTATATTACAGAGCTATAGTCATAAAAACAGCATGGTACCGGCACGAAAACTGACGCATAGATCAATGAAACATAATTGAAGACCCAAACACGAGTGCACAAAATTTCAACCGCCCAATATTTGATAAAGGTGCCAAGAACACACACTGGAGGAAAGACAGTATCTTCAACAAATGGTGCTGGCAAAACTGGATCTCCACCTGTAGAAGAATGAAACTGGACCTTTATCTTTCACCTTGCACAAAAGTCATCTTCAAATGGATTAAAGGCCTCAAGGTGAAACCTGAAACTCGTAAACTGTTAGAAGATAAAATAGGAAGTACCCTACAAGATATAGGTGTAGGAAAAGGACTTTCTACATCAGATGTCAGTTGTTCAGGAATCAAGTTCAACAATCAACAAGTCGGACCTCATTACACTAAAAAGCTTCTGTACAGCAAAAGAAACAACCAAGGAAGTGAAGAGAAAACCAACAAAGTGGGAGAAAATCTTCACCAGTGCCACATCTGACAGAGGATTAACATCCAGACTATGTAAAGAACTCAAAAAAACCAGAATCAAGAAAACAAATGACCCAATTAAAAGATGGGTTATGGATTTGAACAGAGAGTTCTCAAAAGAAATAAAGATAGCTAAGAAACACCTTAAAAAGTGTTCAACATCGTAATTTTGGAAACACAAATTAAATCCACCTTAAGAGTTCATCCTACTCCAGTTAAGATCAAGAGAACAAACGATACCAAATGCTGGTGGGATTGCAAACTCCTGCAACCCCCATGGAAAGCACTGTGCAGAAGTCTTTAAAAACTAAAAAATGAACATCTCATATGATCTGGTTATACCATTCACTGGCATATACCCCAAGGACACATCCTACTGCAAAGATACATGTACATCCATGTTTTTTGCTGCTTTTTTCACAATAGCTAAGAAGGATCTAAATGTCCTTCAACTGATGAGTGAATAATGAAAATGTACTACATTTACACAATGGAGTTCTACTCAGCAGTAAAGAAAGATGAAATCATGAAATTTGCAGGTAAATAGATGGAACTAGAAACTCTTATACTAAGTGAACAAAGACTCAGAAAAACAAATGATGTATGTTCTCCCCCATTTGTGGATCCCAACACCAAATCATTATATATATATATCCTGTGAGTACATTATCCTGATGTAACTGCAGGAGCAGGAAAATGGAAAGGAACCAGGGAGGTAAAGAGAAAGAAGGAGCCTGAGAGAGAACAGTAGGAGACAGGTGTTACCAAGGGAGAAATGGGTAAAATGGGAGTATTTAAATAGGTGGTGAAGAGGGAGGGTTATACAAGGAAAGGGAAGTCTTTCTTCCAGAGTGAAGTGTGTGTGTGTGTGTGTGTGTGTGTGTGTGTGTGTAGGGGGGAACCATAGGAGAGAGGTATTACCAAGACTAAAATGGGGAAAATGGGGGTACTTAACTGGGGGGCAGAAGGAAGAATGAGACAGGGAGAGAGAGGAGAGAGATAAGGCTTAGCTCATGTGAAAAAGTAGAGGGAAATGTTAATTAGTTCAAAAGCCTACTGAAAAATTACACATAGAATATCTCTACATGAGTCCATGTGTATAGCTAAAGGCTATATAACAAGAAACAGTGCCAAACAGGAGAAATCTCCCTTTGAGTAATTGGTCAGGGTAGTCCAAGAGACTCCCAAATTACACAGGCTATTGCCACAGTCCTTGATTGCCTTCCAGAGCGTGAAGGTAATACCCTATTGCTGAAGACAGGACATACTTCAGACATACTTGGAACAATGGAGTTGAACTGACCTGGAAGCCACCTCCCTGAAGGCTAGCTTTCATACTTCTGGAGGACACTATGCAAGCTCTTAAGAACATCAATTTTTGGTCCAACCTGAGCTTTAAGGCCTAATAACCACAATGATTAGCACAGAGAACTATATTGGGGCAGTAGTGGCACTTTTATCTTGGGGGTAATCATCAGCTATCTAATTAGACTTAAACTCATGTGTGGTATTATAAACATAGCCAAAAATACACATGGCTGGAGAGATCATAGCTCTTAGGAAAAACCCTAAGGCGGTCACATCCCTAGACAAATTTGTACCATGCACTACATGTGAATCCTTATATTTACAGACAAGTGTCTTAGTTTGTTCTTCATTGCTGTGACAAAATACTCTGACCAATACCAACTTGGGGAGGAAAGGGTTTATTCAGCTTACATCTCCCACATTGCAGTTCATCAGGGAGCCCAAGGTAGGAACTCAGGGCAGGAACCTGGAAGACTTGCTCCCCTGGCCCTGCTCAGCCTGCTTTCTTATGCCACACAGGACAACCTGCCCAGGTATGGTACCACCCACAGTGGGTTGGGCCCTCTCACATGACTCAATCATCAAGAAGATGCCCCTCAGACATGGCCATAGGCCAGTCCAATAGAGGAAATTCCCTAATTGTGGCTCCCTCAACCCAGGTGTGTCAAGTTGACATTAAAGCTATCCAGCACAAGTATCCCAGTCACCACTCATCAAAGAAGCTTCTTTTGTAATAGAGCCTATTAGAGTTCCACAACTGGTCACACGCAGAGACTGAGCATCCATGAAATGCCCAACCCTAAGTGACACATCTACAATGGAACCTCTGCACCTATCTCATGAAACACAGTGGAACAAGGCATATAGAGACTATGAATGCATCCCTCAACTCTCATCAATGAAGCTCCTTCATGTAACAGGGGGCAATGATCACAAAAGTCCATATGGCCAAAGCATAGAGAATAAGTCTGTAGAATGTGCGTTCTTGGACAGGACTCCTATATTAAACTTCACCTACCCAGGGCCCAGGAACCATTACAGAAGAGGGGGCACAAAGACTGTAAGAGCCAGGGGAGTAGGTGTATGACCATATGGAAACAGAGTCTTACGGGCTCCTGGGACCTTGCTCATATGAACTTACAGCAATGGTGTCAGCATGCACAAGAACCATGCAAACTCAGACAAAACTCCAGCAGAGAACTGTGGAAATGGGCAGCAGGCCGCAATCTTACAGAACTATTGGCCACTGATTACTGCTGGGTGAGGGAGAGTTGATCTTCTTTAAGGAAGAGACTCTAGATAGGCTGACTAGACCCCAGTGGATGAACCTGCACTGAGGGACATCTGGGGACACTAACTTGACTCAGTAGACCTTAATATAAAAGAATGCATGAAATCTGGTGGAGGGTAAGGATGGGGGAGGGAGTATAAAGATGATTAGGATGTTGCATATGAAATACACAAAAATTCAATAAAAATATTCAAAATAAAGCAAAATATAATGGCCAAGTCTTATGACAGTGAGTTAGTAGGAAGCAATTCAAAAGCTTTTGTTTTGTGTTGACCTCTTAGGCCAAGGCCCACTGTACTGCTAAGACTCACTGTATGGCCCAATCCAGAAAGAACATTTTACAACATACATTTTAACTTAACACAACACAGGTCGTGCTCAGAGGCACGTCTAAAGTGCCCTCACTGAGTCGGGCTCTACTCTTGGTATCCACAATCTCAGGAATGTTTCTTGTTTCTGCCAAGTCACTGACCGACTCTATCACCTCTGCCAGTCAGACTTTAGTCTACATGTGACCACCACGGTTTTCATGTTAACCCCGTAATCCTGCTTCACAGGCATAGGGAATCCATGATCAATTTACCTTCTCCTCCTTCTTGCCTCTCCCTCTCCTCCCTTCCTCTACCTCTCCTCTCTTCTCCCTCCCCCGTCTCTAAGCAGCCACACTCCCCATCTCACTAGGTATTTTTTAAAAAATATTTTTGATGTGTGACTGTATTGCCTGCATGTATGTGAGTGCACCCGTGTCGTGCAGTGCCACAGAGGTCAGAAGAGGGCTTCAGATTCCCCTGGAACTGGAGTTAAGGACGGTTCTTAGCCACCATGTGGGTGCTGGGAATCGAACCCAGGCCCTTGCCAAGAGCAGTCAGTGCTCTTAACCACTGAGCCGTCTCTCCGGCCCCCTATGTATTTTAAATGGCTTAACTTGATAGGCTTTTCCTAGAGAATGAAGGCAGTCCCAAAGGATCAATTATAAAAACTGTGTGAACGTACTTTTATTTTTAAATTGTAGGAGTTATGTAAAATGGCATAGAAGTGAATATAGGTGTAGCCTAGTCAGAATGAATCAGCACACATATCCATGTACTAATGAAAGGAATCAACATCTTGAACGCATCACCAGCCAACATAAGCATCAGTACTTCAAGGAACACCAAAACAATCTTCATTGAGGTCAGCTGGAAATTGTAAAAGGTAAAAATTATCTGGTATCTGGATCCTAAATTACAGGGTCTCTCAGCTTTTAGAAATTGGAGTTTGCCTAAGACTTTAGCATATACAATCTCCTGTCTGTCATCTTGTCTTCAATAACTTTAGAAGGGCTTAAAACTTGAGCGCCTTCTGAATTCCCCAAAGCGTTTCTGCACTCTCCTTCAGCTGGGCCTCCTCTGCGGGGCTTAGCTTTATCTTTATAAGGTCTGATATGCCATTTTCTCCCAGGATACAAGGAACGCTGAGGAACACGTCTTCCTTTACTCCGTAGAGACCCTTAACTATGGTGGAAACTGGAAGTGTTCTCCTGAGATTCTTCAAAATACTTTCCGTTATATCAGCTACAGACAGGCCAATGGCCCAATTAGTGTAACCTTTCATTTTAATAATTTGATAGGCACTGCCAATCACTTCTTTGTGGATAGTTTCCCAGTGCTCGGGATCTTCTTTGGTTCCTATAGCTGAGTTCAGATCTTTCAGGGGAACACCAGCGATGTTCACGCCACTCCACACAGGAACGCTCGAGTCTCCATGCTCTCCAAGGACCCACCCGTGGCAGCTTTCGGAATGGATACCAAGCTTTTGCCCAATCAAGAAACGGAAACGAGCAGTATCTAGAGTGCAGCCACTTCCAATAACACGGCTCTTCGGTAGCCCACTCAGCTTCCAGGTCACGTAGGTTAAGATGTCCACTGGGTTGGAAACAACGATAATTTTGCAGTGGGGGCTGTGCTTGACAATGCTGCCGATCATCTCCTTGAAGATGACGACGTTGCGCTGGACTAAGTTAAGGCGCGTTTCTCCTTTGGCCTGGCGTGCCCCCGCGGTGATGACCACGACCGCCGACTTTGCAGTGACGTCGAAATCTTTGCTGTAAACAATATTGGGCATTTTCAGGAAGATGCTGCCGTGCTGAAGGTCCATGACCTCCCCCTTCAGTTTGTTCTCGTCGACGTCCACGAAGGCGACCTCGTCCGACATGCCTTTCGCTAAGACGCTGAAGGCACAGGCCATGCCCACCGACCCAGTCCCTATGATGGAGACCTTGCTGTGGCGAACAGGCTCCTCGGGGCTCCCGTGCTGCATGAGCTGACTCTTCACGGTCCCCACGCTGTACGCGGGGCTGAGGCGCCACCAGGCCCCGCTCAGGGGAACCCGCAGCCCCGGCCCCAGCCGCAACGCGCCCACCGCCCAGCTCATGGCTGCTCTGCGCAGGGAGTCCCGGCCGGAACGCCGACCGTTGGGCCCAGAGCCGGCTCTGCCTCCCACTGCGGCTGCGCGCAAATCCGCCCCCGCCCAGTCGGGGCTGGTTCCAGCAGCTCTACTCCCTGGCCGCCAGGAGGCTTGATGCAGTGCTTCCTAACTCCAGCGCCGGAGTAGTGGGTTCGCTTACAAGCACGTACTCTTTAAATGTGACACGTGTGACAGGCCAACCCAGACCCCCGGAATTCCTAGTTTTCTATTACCGTGTGTCCGGTAAGCATGCTTCTGTCAGCCACAGAGGAAAGAAGGTTAACTTGAGCCACAACAAAGGTGGCTGTGCGCTCTCTCCCACGAGCCGGCTGCACCTTTCCCCAGCGCGGTGGACAGTTAAGCTCGGGGTCTGTGTGTCCGCCGAAGGGCCGGCCTTTGGTTTAGGAAGGCATTTACTGCCCACGCATTCACCCTAACCAGGACCCACACCTAGGGAGGTCAGCAGGGGTCTGACAACGGGCACTCCGTTCATACTAAAAGCTCAGGGGACGATTCGGCAAACCCCTCTCTCCTGCCAAAGGAAAGCCTGTAACTGAGTTCTAATTAAAGATAACAAAAAAGTCCCCAAACAAAACAGAACCACCCACCACACTTCTCAAGGAGAAAGATGCTTCCGCTGGCCTCTAAGATAAGGAAATTATCTCTGCAATGGTCTTAAATGACAATTTTCAACCAATGCCCAAATCAGATTGTTGACTGAACTACAGACAGTACAGCCTGGAATCAGTGTACCTAACTTCCTCTGCACATTTCTGGACAGCCTGTGAACTAACTTCTGAGGCAGATGCAAACTTTACTTTTGATGATAAACCCAATAAACTACCAAAGTCCTAGGAAATATACTGGCAGTTTCTCCCACCAGCACATAATTCTGATCCTGTAATCATTGCTTGAATCATTCCTCTTGGTAAGACAAAAATATACTCTGGGATGTGGATCCTAGGTGTATGTAGCCCTTTCCTGACCAGCAAGATTCCAACTTTAGATACTGAACCCCAATGAAATAAATAATTTATAGCCAGAACTTGATAAGCTACTTCTTCCTGCCACTGGAATGCAGTCCAGAAAAAAGGAACAGTAAGTAGAGCAGTTTGGACAGCTGGGAAAGTGTGGCAGTCAGCAGGGTTCCTCAACCCTTGTTGAGCATACTGGTGGTGGTTACCAGTTTTCTAAGGCAGGACAGTTGGTTGGATGAAATGGAGCCACTAGTTTTGTAACACACACAAGTCTGAGAGCCCAAGATACATGTACTCTCCACCAGCAGTCAGATTTATGGTAGCGATCTGTCAAATTAAAAACTGAATTTAAAAAATGATGTTTATTGAATGATGGCCAAGATTTTAGAGAGAAAAACTTAAAGAAAATGGCCAAAAATTTTTTGATAGCTATCATTTCTTTTAGTGCAACTCTTACTTGAAGTATTTTAACCTGACAACTGTTCCCACCTTTGTTCCTTTGACCAGCCAAGTCATTTTCTAGGATAAGTGCTCTTAAGCATGAAATTCAAGGACATAAAGAGTCTTAGCTGGATGGCTTCTAGCTACGAAAAATTTTCTTTCTAGAGATTGAACCTTTTCAGAAATAAAGTTTCTACGATCCGTGCCTCTTCAGTCTTTCCCCTTAGCCACAATTAAATTAATTTCAAGGGGAAAAATAACATTCCAAAATAAATATACTCCCCGAAAAGCAGCTTTTCTATTTACAGTATCAAAAAAGCATGAGAAGGATGAGATGTCCATGACCTCTAGACTACATGTAGGTCTACTCAAGGGTGTTGAAAGCCAGATACAGCCAGAGAGCTCCCTAATGGCTTTCCATCTTAGGTGGCTCATTATTCCTTTGAATTGGAAACGTAACTCAAATTATCTATTCCAAATGCAACGCATTACAGATGATTATACCTTAGCAATTTTAGTTACACCACTTAGGAGAGAGGATGTAGGAGATGAAGGCCAGCAGCATGTCTCTAGACCAGGAACAGTTGCCACCCAGTCTCTCCAGAATCATTCCCCCTGGACCCCACTGCAAGCTCCTGGCTCCCTTCTGTTGGGAGACTAGTTCCAACACTATCCCCTTATAGACCTTTGCCAACCCTCCCAGCAGAACTGATTTTAAAATCCTGTGTCACTACTGTACTTTGTACCTCTCTCATGACAGAATTTATTACAATTAAATGTAAACTACTACAAATGTGTCAGAAAGGAACCACCCTTGTTTAAAATAAGCACATCTGTCCTCTAAACAGCTGGACACATGAATTCAGTAATTGTATATGGAAAGGATGAGTAAGGTGAGCAGGAGACAGAAGGGTGGGCCTGGAGAAACTTTCTGGTGCCGGAGTGCTCCCAGCAGAGGGGATAAAATGGTTGCGGCCCCTCAGGGGTTCTTTGGAAGGCTGATGAAGAAATTTCAAAGAAAACAGTGGATGGGCTAAAAGATGTGTGACCAAAATTCCCAGAAAAACTGCATCTCGAAACAGCCTTCTGAGAAGACTGATCAACTGATTAGAAGTTCAGTGATTGTGGAGAGTTTGTAATGTTGTAGGTCCAGAGCCTAATTACCATTTATCTTGGGCCATCTTTAGCTCCCTAAATAGCCACTCCTTGCCAACCTCTGTTGCCAGCTTAACATCCTGTGACTAACAGAAAAAAACCTTTTGGCATGTATTAACCTAACAAAACCCAGCTTCTACCAACCAAAAGGCTGGGTGTCATCAGAGAGCATCTGAGGCCTAGAGCTGAGATTTCTCTTTTGCTGTAACGGCCTACTTAATGTTTCCACCAGTGCATTGAAGTGTCTTGATTTATGACTTTTTCTTTGTTCTGTTACTATAAGAACTGCATGAAGCTGTTACTACATTGGAACATGGAACTTGGGGTAACCTGAATCTGTTCCCATGGTCACTCATATTCGGCTCCAGAATAAACTATCCCCTATACTTTTTGAGGTCAGAGTTCTGCTTTTATGTTGAAAGATATCTTAACTCTTTTTCAGAGCTAAGTCATTTTCAAACCTTTAACAGATTAAAACATGCAGCAATGAAATCTGTAGTTCTGGAAACAGCAAAATCATATGCGATAGCAGAGAATATTTTAATTCTTTGAAATTATTTAAAATGTTTGGTTTGTTAGAAATCCTGAAAATAATCAAGAGAGGAAATCCTTAATGCAGAAAAAAATGATGCAGCACAAGCAGTGCTAGGGTGGGGTCTGAAAGAGGCTGTCAGGCCACTCAGCAGCCAGGACAGCCTTTTACAAACATAAAACCCTAAGACGACAACTGTAGGTTTGTTTTTTGTTTTTGTTTTTTAATAGCAGGCTGTAAATGTGTTCCTCATAGAAACTAAAAGAAATCCTCATGTGGGTCCCAGAACCTGAAAGTATTTTCTTATTAGCAGGGCCAAGGAATTTTGCCTTGAGTCTCATTATGTAGCACTGGCTGGCCTGGAACTCACTATGTAGACCAGGGTGACCTTGAACTAACAGAAATCAGCCTGCTTCTGTCTCCCAAGTGCTGGGATTAAAGGCATGTACCATCACAATTAGCTTCTTGTTTTATTTTGTTTGAGACAGGGTCTCATTAACATTTTTTTTAAAGCATCATCCTATACATAATTTTTGATTCAATGTAAAAGAACAACTTATATTAACCATCAAGAAGAAAAAAATTTAAGGTGGCCCAAAACAGGAAAAACATAATTTATTACTGTGTATGGCTCAGCCAGTAAAGGTGATTGACGCTAAGGCTAACAACCTGAGTTTGATCCCCAGGATCTACATGGTAGAAGGAAAGAACTGACTTCTGAAAGCTGTCTACACACACACACACACACACACACACACATACCGCCCCTTAATATACAGCCAAAGTTTAAGCGCAGGATAACTGCTGTAGATGTTTCTGCTCAAGAAGGGAGATTATGTAATATATAAATATAATTTAAAAACTTAAATCATATCTAAGAATTGAGATTTAATTCTATACGATAGATTCTAATAGCATAGATGTTATTTTACTAGTTCACTCTGTTTGTTCTCTGTGATTGGATTAATGGATGTCACAGTGCAGTCCTTAAAAACTAATTTTGGCCCACCAAAAGACATGAAGAATATGTGCATGAGGTAGAGACTAGAGTTAACTTTATAAACTCGAACTGCCCAAATATGTTGTAAAGGTTAAAAACATTAGTTGCCCAAGTCTCTGTCTGGTTCACGAACAGAGTCAACAGTGAGGAAGACAGGGTGGAGCAGGAGAAAGTGCTCTAGGGATGTAGCTGGCGAGGAAAGGCTCAGAGGCTAGGAAGAGTATGTCTCTCCTGCACCGCCAGAGTATGTGACAGAAAGCTGGACTCTCATTCCCAGTCACACTCACCATATGAATGAGACGGTTCTTGTAGGTACCTGTCCTATGTACTGTGAGACGCTCAGCAATGTTCTTGGCTTCACAGCAGTATTACTGGGTATGACAACCTGAAATATCACTAGACACTATCATATATGTTCTGGGGTGTGGCAGAGGGACAGTATCACATTCAGTTAAGAATCAATAAGCCAGGCCAAGCATAGTAGCTCTCCCCTTTAATCCCACACTCGGAAGAGGCAGATGGATCTCTGTGACAGATCGAGGTCAGCCTGGTCTACATAGTAACTTCCAGCCTAGCTGGGGCTATAGAAAGTCCCTGTCCCTGTCTCAAAAAAAAAAAAAAAAAAAAAAGGAATTAATAAACTAAAGAATAAGCAGAGGCAGGTCACAGAGAGGCCCAGAAAAACTATTAAAGGAACCCAGACTTTATTCTCAAGGGAAAAGGGATCCCTGATATGGTAGATACAATTGACCAGATTTAATTAAACTAATATTTAGCGGACACCTAGTGATGGGCATGAACAGGCTACTTACTGTATCTTAGACCAGACAGTCTGGGGACACTTCTCTGAGATGAAGCAAATTTCAGTTGA